CCTCTTGTCTTGTTCATTTTTGAATATCCTCTTTCTATAATTGCAAAGCAGCACACAATATTTTGGCGCTGTATAAATTCTGGTAATAATACAGATGATGCATCGAAGGGAAGAACGAGCGGAGAAATATTTTATATGAAGTATAAGAACGATTCATGGTTTCATAGAATTGTTTTTATTTTTATATGCATTAAGCGTAGTAGTTACAAATTGTGCCTGTGTCACGTCGCTTTATAAAACCAATGCTATTAATAGATGTTAAACAGCAGACTGGCTGTAATGAAGCGTCACTTATAAACCAATCAGATCCCTTTTTTATGGGCTCTATTTTATGGTGTCCCAGCAAAGAAAACACTTGGAACGGAAGGGACAACCGGACAGAATTGTGACTGTACCCCAGTCTGGTGGGTAGGTGTTTGCTGCCAGTGAGCATATAGAAGTAAGATGTATCCCTGAACACATGGTGGACTGGGAACGGAGCTGGCTGGGAAAAAACATCTGGGTGGGAAACAAAAGATCAGGGATTTGGAATTCTACAAGGCAGAACATTAACATGTCCACACACATTTTTTCGATGCACATGATGTAACTATAAACTAATGTCACAGCTCCCCCTGCTGGCTGGCAGCAGTAAGAATACAATTCCAGATCAGCAGCGGAGTGAAGAAACTGGTTATGATGCGGTTATTTGTTTTACCAGAAAACAAGGGAAAACTATTAAAAGTGTTAAAGGAACAAAAGTGTCTCCCTAACGCTATAGTGTCCGTCAGCCATAAATGGTATGTGAGAAAAAGTAGATGGGAGTAAGTGAAACCACTCACCAACAGGTAGGTGGTCCACGCTCCATTAAAGAGAACCTACAAAGAGTTAAAATCTCATAACAGAGATTGGAGATCTCATATCGGTTCCGATTGATAGTTACCGCTTATTCTCCCCACTGCTGGAGTACCGGTCTGAATAGGGATATCACCGCTATATAGATGTCAACAAGACGTAAATTAGCATGACCCACTTGTATCTTTCAGCCTATACAGATACTAAGTGTGTTTCTCTATATTAGATACAAAGTGTGTCATTCGTCTACTCTGTACCACATTTAGTCTCCTTATTTCTCAGACCGATTTTTTGTGCTCATTAACCCTAGAGGTACCTACTTGATTACTGATCTAATTTAGAATCTATACTCTTTGTACATAGGCTCCTGGTCTGTATGAGTTTAACACTTGAGACTTACTTCCCCAGTATTTTAAATCTATATCACTACGGCTGATTTAATTTATTTCCATCGCTTTGGATTTTTTCACTTTTGCTTTAATTTCTATTTCCTATTCGGCTAAATATATGAATAAAGGCTAAGACCACTCTGTTATGAAATTTTAACTCCTTGGAGGTTCTCTTTAACCCCTTAAGGACCGGACTGTTTTTACGATGATGTACATTTGCGACCAGGCATCTTTTTACACTTTTGTGGTGTTTGTGTTTGGCTGTAATTTTCTGCTCTCTCATTTACTGTTCCCATACAAATTATATATTGTTTTTTTCAGGACAAAAGGGGCTTTCTTTACATACCATTATTTATATAATCTCTTGTATTTTAATTTAAAAAAAAAATAAAATATGATGAAAAATTGAAAAAAATACGTTTTTTGACTTTTACTTGAAAAATCTTTTACTCATCTACAAAAGCGAATGAAAAAAACTGCTAAATAGATTCAAAATTTTGTCCTGAGTTTAAAAATACCCAGTGTTTACGTCCTTTTTTTTGCATGTTATAGGGCTATAGGTACAAGTAGGATATTGCGGTTTCAAAACATACATTTTTTAAATTTATCAATAGTGACATTGTAACACTATTATCTGTCATAAATCCCTGAATAACACCCCACATGTACATATTTTAGACAACCCAGGGTATTCAATATGGAGTATGTGCAGTCTTTTTTAGTAGCCACTTAGTCAAAACCACTGGCCAAAGTAAGCATTCATATTTGTGTGTGAAAAAAGTAAAAAAACTAAATTGAACGTTAATTTTGGCCAGTGTTTGTGACTAAGCGGTTACTAAAAAAGACTGGACATACCCCATTTGCAATACCTTGGGTTGTCTTCTTTTGCAAATGGTATGCCATCATGGGGGTAATTCTCATTCCTGGGCTACCATACGCTCTCAAAGGCAACGTAACCAGCCTGGCCATTTTCAATGTAAAAATATTTGACCCATATATTTGACCTTGTAACTTTCAAAAATGCTATAAAACCTGTACATGGGGGGTACTGTTTTACTCGGGAGACATCGCTGAACACAAATATTAGTGTTTAAAAACTGGAAAACGTATCACAACAATTATATCATCAGTAAAAGTGCTGTTTGTGTGTGAAAAATGCAAAAAAAGTCACTTTCACTGACAATATCATCGCTGTGATATGTTTTACTGTTTTGAATCACTAATATTTGTGTTCAGCGAAGTCTCCCGAGTAAAACAGTACCCCCCATGTACAGGTTTTAGGGTGTCGTAGAACGTTACAAGGTAAAATACAGTGCTAGCAAATTAAATTCTCTGGAATTTCGGCCTGGGTTGGCAGGCAGGTCCCTCAAATTGCAATCAATAAAATTACTGAATTATGTAAAAATATTACATAAATACGCACATAGAATTTAAATATATATGCATATTTATATATTTGAAGTCTACGTGTATATTTATATAATTATTTATGTAATTTTGTATATGGACATATGTATATTTCGTATTATTTTTATTTATTTAGATATACATAGATATATATACAAATTCATTCTAAGTGTATTTTGATATAAATATATATTAATTTTAAAATACAGTTAGAATAAAATTTCATATAGATATATTTTTTGAATTTTTATTATTTACATTTTTTTAAATTTAAATAACTTATTTATATTTTATAATTTATATATACACACTATATATAGTTATTATATATATTATATATATATACACGTGTGTAATTTAATTATAAGTGTATTTTTATATTAATATATGTACATATTAATATAAAAATACACTTAGTATGACATTATATATGATATATAGACATATTATATCAATATAATATATGTCTATATATCATATATATATATATATATACACACACACATATATAATTTTTTTAAATTTTTTTATTAACACTAACTTTATTTTATTTTTTAAATGATTTTACACTAGCAGGGAGACTGCATGTCAGCACAGGCAGTCCCCCTGCAGGCAGACACATGGACACCTATTGTGACCATGTGATCGCTGTGTTAAGCGATCACATGGCCACAGGGGTCCTAATTCAGTGTGGGGAGACTGTCTGTCTGGGCTGCAGGCAGTCTCCCCACACCGGGAGCAACGCCGCCGGGGGGAACGACGGCGATCAGGTAAGTAACTCAGACCGTTAGGACGGTTCAGGACCGTCATCAGTCCTCAAGGCAAAAATGCCGATGACGGTCCTGAACCGTCCTCGGTCCTTAAGGGGTTAATGGAGCGTGGACCGCCCACATGTTGGTGAGTGGTTTCACTTACTCCATCTACTTTTTCTTTCTTTTGTATCCGGGGTTTAATGCCTTGAGTACCTCTGTAACCTTTACTGAGGGTATCAGTGTTGACTAGCTCAACACTGTAACCTCTTTCTTTTTCTCTGTGTTTGTATGTGTGTCTGTCAAAGAGTATGTGTGTTTGTCAGTGAGAGTGTATGTGTGTATATCTGTGTGTCAAGGTTTGTGTATGGGTCACTGTGTGTATCTAGGGGTGTGTGTGTGTGTGTGCCAGTGTGTATCAGTGTGTCTGTATGTGTATGTCATTGTGTGTGTATCTGAGTGCCAGTGTGTGTATGTCACTGTGTGTATCTGTGTGCCACTATGTGTGTGTGCGTGTATCTGTGTGTCAGATAGATATACATACACACACACACACTGGCGCATTCCAACACAGATACACACAGATACATACACACACACAGAGATACACAGTGTGTGTCAAGGTGTGTGTATCTGTGTGCCACTATCTGCCAGTGTGTGTGTGTGTGTGTCAGATATATACACACTGGCACATACAAACACAGACACACACACTTTGACACACAGATACACACACCTTGATACACATATACATACACACACACACAGATACACACTGTGTGTCAAGGTGTGTGTATCTGTGTGCCACTATGTGGGGGGGGGGGCTCCACTATGATTGACACTATGTCAAAGGGTTCCACGGGAAAAATTAATTGGGAACCCCCGATGTAGAGGATTGTGGCTCTTTGCATGGCAACGGTACACATAAGATTAAAGGAAACACAGTTTCTTAATATAACTACAGACTCTGTTTGATTAAAGATCTCCCCACAGGTCGTGATTCTCTTACACAAGGGAAGCTTTCAGAGGACTTTCCACAAGTTGGGGACGGCCTATCCCCGCAAAAATCAGCTAATTGTAGCAACATGTCAAGTACCAAGTCTGGGGAAGAGACATGCTGGAGTTATTAGAAAACAGAACTAATAGATTTTATTAATGTGCCCACGTAGTCATGTCCTCCATCTGATTTAGACTGTCAGCTCATTAGCCAAGCCATGCTGTCGAACACAATGTTCAATGTCCATCAGTTGGTTTGTAAGTCGTCGAATTATTTGCAGAGTGCAGTGTCCGTTTCCCCCGTGCAATAAAAATATTAAATTTGTCATCATAATTTAGAAAACGTTCTTCTTACACCAGGAAAATACCCTGTTAACATGTCGTTAAAATTGATTTTTTTTTGGTTATACTTTATTTTTGTAATAAGTTAATTTGAATATACTATCTCCTCCTTAAGCCACACAATTAAGTCCTTTCATTTCAAACTGCAGTGCTCCTCTTTTCTACTATAATAAATCTGGATTTAATAATGCAGGATGACATGACTAAGGTTTCTGGGAGTTGTAGTTGAAGTTGTTTTACAGTAGAAAGTTAAATACAACTCCCAGAAGCCAATGCATTGCCCATAAAGCACTGCACAGTATGTTACGTGGGCAGCATAGTTTACATAGAAACAAAACTCAATTTTAAAACGTCATGGTGTGATTTTAGAAATGTTATGAGCAATGATGTACTGCAGAAGGACTGGTGGTTGGAGACACTGGGCTGCTGCCATAGAGACCTACCACGCAAAGTAAGGTAAGTAGATGCCACAATACAATTCTCACTGAAAGAATGCATTCAGCCAATATCAATTCGGATCTACCTTTGAATATATTCTCACACTGATAATTTGAGCGTGATGGCGACTTACCTTTATAAATAATATAGTCAGAGGTAGATTGATCCAATGGTACTTAGAGAGGGCACACTGACTGCAAGCTGTAACCGTACAAGGACACAGTCTGTTGCGTATGCAGGTCTCGGATGTGGATTATACATCGGTATCTGAAGGACAGAGCTTAAAGAACCACAGGCACAAACATTGTACATAAAAAAACACCTTTAAAACATCACATTTATCATCCATTTATATACAAAGGAGTGGTACAATACAAGGCCTCAGTGGCATAGTTAAGGCAACAACCCTCCCCCACTAAAAAGTTTTATAATTGTGCTTCTCACACCAAAGAGAGAACCAAAAAAACAAACAAAAAAAATAAATGACATTCCAAAGCACGTGCTGCAAACCAGAACAAAGATTCATGAGATGGGTTTATAGTAAACAAACATGGCAAACTACAACTCCCATCATCCTCTGTAAGCAGAGGGATATCTGTGCAATGCTTCTTGTTAGAAAAATTTATCATAGAAACTTTACATTTTAAATAAAAAATTGAAAACTAATTCAAGAACCTCACTGATCATTCTCCAAATTGGAGAATTGTAAAAAAAATACTCAAGCTTTGAACAATTTGGTTTAAAATGGCAGCATGGAGAAATTGTATAATTATTTAAATTCTCTACAATCCCCCCACCCCACTCCACCACTCAGCTACAATTCCTCTCTTACTGGGATCATTTTAATGCTGGATTTCAGTTCGTCTGATCACCTACAAACCATTGTCAGAAGCAATGCACAAATAAAACCAAACAAAAAACCTTAGTTTTCTAGTTGTGCATTATATATATTTACTAATCACAATGAGCATCAAACCAGACAAAATATGATTTTTAGTGAATGCAAGTTTTAGAATACAGAACATTCAGTGTAAAACAGATTACCCTTTGTGAACAGGGGTTGGTCCCAAAACACTGGATTGCAGTCAATTGAAAACTAAATCGCTCAGCGATAGTCAGAGTTTGGCCATTTTAACCTAAATCTTGCAATTTGGTTTTCAATTCACTAGAATTTGGTGTTTAATAATCCTCTGATTTGGGAAGAGAAATACAGTTATTACTAAAAATCAGCTCCTCGAAGTATAAAAAAAACAATAATTGCACCTTAAAACGCAGCTTGTTTGAGCGCATTATTTTAGGGGAGACCGACACTTCTATACTCTGCTGGCATATCAGTAAAGGGAGGGAGACTGGTGAGACAGACTAATATTCTCTGATGGCATATCAATAAAGGGGAGACAGAGACTGATTTACTCTGCTGGCATATCACTAAAGGGAGGGAGACTGGGGAGACCGAGACTAATTCTCTGCTGGCATATCAGTAAAGGGTGAGGAGATGGGGAGACAGAGACTATTATTCTCTGCTGGCATATCAGTAAAGGGTGATTAGATGGGGAGACAGACTAATTCTCTGCTAGCATATCAGTAAAGGGTGATTAGATGGGGAGACAGACTAATTCTCTGCTGGCATATCAGTAAAGGGTGAGGAGCTGGGGAGACAGACTAATTTACTCTGCTGGCATATCAGAAAATGGGGAGTGGCTGGGGAGACAGACTAATTTACTCTGCTGGCATATCAGTAAATGGGGAGGTGTGAATTAAGGAGAGATGTGCAAATAGCAGCTGTTACCCAGGAACAAGGCTTCCATGAAAAATTTGTACCAATAATAATATAAAAGCAATCTTTTTAAGAGTAGTAGGAAAAGATACAGCAATGTGACACAATTACAGTTAATTCCCAGAATCCCCCATTTCCAGCTTTATTCTTGCTCATTTCCAAATGAAGACACAAAGATTAAAATGGGACCAAGATGTCCTATAATGAGTGCTGACCCACTTGTTTGTAGTTACTGTGGAGGTGTATCCCTAGATTGTATAAGGTGCGTTGCCGTTAACATAATGCTCAGCTCTGTTCTAGGGAGCCTGGCTTACAAAGGGTCAGTCACTAAAGAGGAATTCAAAGTGAATTTTAAACATAAGGCTACAGGAGCTAAAATGGAAGAATAGCTGACAGAAGAACTTTTAAATTTAAGGTTGAAATAGCCAAACTGGAAAGGTCAGTTTGAATTTTCAGTTTAGATGAATAAGACATTCCATTCTACAGAGGCAGACTCACACGAAATTAATTGGAGAAACCGCTCTATAGAACCTGCTAATGCTGAATGCGTAGGACATTCCATTCTATAGAGCCCGGCTAATGCTAAATGGGTAGGACATTCCATTCTATAGAGCTCAGCTATCGCTAAATGAATAGGATATTCTAATCTATAGAGCCCAGCTAACACTAAATGAGTAGGGTATTTCATTCTATACAGCTTAGCTGATGCTAAATGAGTAGGGTATTCCATTCTATACAGCTTAGCTGACACTAAATGAGTAGGACATTCCAATCTATAGAGCCCGGCTGGCACTGAATGAGTAAGGCATTCCTTCTATAGGGCCCGGCTGACACTGAATGAGTAGGGTATTCCATTCTATACAGCTTAGCTGACACTAAATGAGTAGGACATTCCAATCGATAGAGCCCGGCTGGCACTGAATGAGTAAGGCATTCCTTCTATAGGGCCCGGCTGACACTGAATGAGTAGGGTATTCCATTCTATACAGCTTAGCTGACACTAAATGAGTAGGACATTCCAATCTATAGAGCCCGGCTGACACTGAATGAGATTTCATGCCATAGAGCCCGGCTGATGCTAAATGAGTAGGACATTACAATCTATAGAGCCCGGCTGGCACTGAATGAGTAAGGCATTCCTTCTATAGGGCCCGGCTGACACTGAATGAGTAGGGTATTCCATTCTATACAGCTTAGCTGACACTAAATGAGTAGGACATTCCAATCTATAGAGCCCGGCTGACACTGAATGAGATTTCATGCCATAGAGCCCGGCTGATGCTAAATGAGTAGGACATTACAATCTATAGAGCCCGGCTGGCACTGAATGAGTAAGGCATTCCTTCTATAGGGCCCGGCTGACACTGAATGAGTAGGGTATTCCATTCTATACAGCTTAGCTGACACTAAATGAGTAGGACATTCCAATCTATAGAGCCCGGCTGACACTGAATGAGATTTCATGCCATAGAGCCCGGCTGATGCTAAATGAGTAGGACATTACAATCTATAGAGCCCGGCTGGCACTGAATGAGTAAGGCATTCCATTCTATAGGGCCCAGCTGACACTGAATGAGGAGATTTCATGCCATAGAGCCCGGCTGACGCTAAATGAGTAGGGTATTCCAATCTATAGAGCCAGACTGACACTAATTGAGTGGGGTATTTCATTCTATAGAGAGGCCAGCTGGTAAAGACAAAGATAAGGTGTGCTTGGAAACTTGGTCATTGTATATTCAGTTGTGGTGAGAGGCAGAAATAAATTAATGAAATAACTATTTAACATCAAACAACCGGAAGAAATCTGAAGTCACCATCATAAGGGGTCTATGGTCATTAAGACTAAATCAGGGCTTATTCGAATATATTGCTGCCACCATTTATTACTCTAGATACGCACATTTGACTTAGTGTATGTGTATAAATTTTACCAAAGTATTCATATAGCATGGCCTTTGATCCAGTGTTAATGAAGTGCAAAGAAAAAAAAAAAAAAAAAAACATTTGGGGTTTGCAGTCGTGGCACCTCACTTTGTCTAACCATGCATACCGGCTTCTGCTCCTGCAACTGACAGCACTTCTATTAAAGCAAATATATTTTTGGTAAGGCTCAGAATCTAAAATTAAAGTTCACGTAAAAAAAACCAAAAAAGAATTATCTCAAAAGTCCATATCCCCACTCCCTAAATGGAGAGTCTCAATATCAATAGAAGTCTTCTGTTCCATTCCACAGATATAAATATTTGAACTAATATTCCCTTTCTGATCCATTTTGGCTACTGACAGACACCGTAACAAGTAGGACTGTTTTTGTAACATGTTAGTATTAGGATAAACTGTGCACAATGGAGCCTCAATAAAGGGCTGGTGTTATCAGGTCATTGATCAAGGAAATCCACACCCAGCTACAACTCCTGTGATCCTCAGCCAGCATTGTCTCACAAACTGTCTCAGTGTCCAGCACTGCCCAACCAAGGAAGTAAATCACATTTTGTAGGCTCTTAGAATTGACGCGGTGAAGTGCAAGTAACGCATAGAAAATGTTCGCCATTTCTTGATCATTTCCTATTTCTCAGTAAAAAAAACAAATCCAGTAAAAATATTGTACAGTGCTCAGCCACAATGTTAATTCTTAAAAACAAAATGAAGATTAAAAAATGCTATAAATTGTTTAAAGATGGCAGCACAAAGCTCCACATTCTTCTAAGGCAAGCCAAAGTGCGCAGCCCAAAAGTCCTCAGTAACAAACCATAAATTCCTCACCCCGTCACCAAGGAAGATACATCACAGACTTCTGGAAGAAAACAGGTGAGCATCTCTAGCAACCAAACAGGACAACCTGTGGCATAGCCTTTGATATAAACATTGTGAATATGTAACAACTTAATTCTCTTTCACGTTCCGTCATGTTCTTTGTACAAAGTGCAGAAAAGAAGGTGGTCTCTTCTTTATTAAGGCAAACCCCCAAAATATGTCCGCTGACTGACAGAACAATCAGAACTCCGGGTCAAGGTTTATTCGTTGTCCGGTCTATCTGTTCTGTTGGGCAATCCCCATTAAAGGCGTACAGAAAGATTCGGGCCTATTGACCATCTACAGGATGATATATTCCTGTTGTTGCAAGTGGCTACCATGACTACTCCTTTTCAATAGGAACAGTGTAAGTGGCAGCTCCTTTTTCGTGGCTAGCGGTTTAAGAGAAGAGTCATTTGCCCCTTGAGGTTCTCCACAATCCAACTGAAATGGTAACCGTCACTTGGCCTCCGATGGTTTATATTCGGTTTCCCCAGAAGACACCTGTGATATCCGCCGAGTTGAACCCCAGAGCTTACGCTTGAACTGACCAGTCTTC